AATAATTAATAGCCACTCCAATCGATGTTTATTTGTTTTAAAACGCATGCGCACCAATTTTAAATGTTTAATTCTAAAAATTTAAATTTAAAATCTTTTTTGTATGTTCAAAAACGGCTAGTATCGTTAATGTTTTAAATTTAAATGTATGGTTCGAATTCTTTATTCGAATTTAATTTTACCTGAAGACGACGTGCTTATTTACGTCGAAAGCGCTCGTAAATTAAAATAATTTCAAGTATATTTAACGCCTCATAGACTGACGTTCTTGGAAGAAGAAGTTTTGATTGACATAAGTTGGCGTGACATCCAACCCGTGAACTTAATACACCTAACAAGACCTATTGTCAGGTGGGAACTATTAATCTCTTTAACCCTGGGTCATGGCATGGCTAACTTTGGCTGTTGGGTGTCTGAAAGCAGCCTGAGTGAAGTTGGTTTCACCCTTATATAGAAAATATGATGATCAGTCGAGTTTGCTCCCAATTCAGTCATATTCTGAGTAAATTTTCATTTAGCAGGAACTTCAACATCTGCTAAATCAGAGGAAGTCAAGATGAGATGATGAATTAGATAAAAATCTGCCTTTTCGTTTGTCAGATTTACATGAAAAATCCAATTTTCTATTAAATTTTACTTATAAATTTTAATATAAAATTCAAATTCTTTTTGTATTTAACTGTCCCCAGATCCAGATTCTCATAAACAAACAATAGAAACTACTTTTGTATCAATGATGTGGTCAAGTTACATTGTTGTTTTAGAAATTTTTCTGTTGTCCTAAAAAATTTCAGTTACATGGAAAATCAGAGGTGTAACTTATGATATGTATGACAAATGAAAATAAATGTTTTTTGTCATGTTGATTGATAAATGTTGCTGTTTAACTTATACCTTAGTGCCTTTACCAAAGAAAAAGGTAATGTGGACTACCAATTATTATGCAATAAATAAATATAATGATGATGATGCAGTATAATTTTATAAAAATGGATTAATAAACTTTTATAAAAGAATAAAATGCTGTGGTAGATCGTCAGTGTTTTTGACTCATAAAAGTCAATCATATCCCACTAAGTTGGTAAAAGCTTGTTCTAGAACATTCTTTAAAAGTTTTTAATAAGTATTGCTAACAATTCCATCAAAATTGCTGCTAAATGATGAGGATTATTGCTGAGGCAAAAATAACATTGACAAAATAGTTTGTTTACAAGCCCATAAGAATAATATCTAAAGCAAACATTAAATGTTTGGCATGTTAAATATTCATCATGATATGATTTTTGATCCATAATTTACTGGATGATCAAATGGAAAGTTTACATGCAAGGAGTTGACTTCCCAAATGATACGAGTCAGCTGTGCTTGTTATTGCTGTAATATATTGTGAAAACACTTAATGAATTCAAGGAATAACATTTCATACTCTTTTGCCAGCATCATCGTCTATTTCTCCTATGTTACAATTTACTTCCCAATTAAAATTACTTTTTCACTAAAGAAGAAAATTAAAAATTGCCAAGCTTTGTGATATTGTAACCATTATAATTAGCTTACTTTTTTCAATGTAGGTTTATTTTTAATTTAAATGATAAAAATAATATCTAAAAAATTTTTGTGAATTTAAAACATCTGGAAAAAATTATAATTTTAATATTATGATATGTTTTTAACATAATCAAAATTTTAATAAATGTTTTATCTGTTTTAGGCAGACACCAATTCAGTTTCCAGTGAAATTAACAGAACCCTTAACAGCCATTCTTTATATTACGTCGGATTTTCAGCATATTATAGATTTGAAACATGTAATTCATGTGAAAGAAATTGCTGAAGGTAATTAGAGTTATGTAATTAATTTTTGGGATTTCTCTACAAATGTATCAACAATTGTAATAATCTTTTTTAAAATCTGATTTAGCACCTGCACATGAACATCACATCCTGGCACTTCATCGTCATGGTCATCAGTTGGGAGGCTTACCTGCACTGTTTTGGGTCTCAATTGTATTTCTGATTGTAGTGTTTCATCTGTTTTTGGCAAAACTAATATATAACGAATATTGTGGAAATCAGGATAAGTCTCGTGGACGATATGTCGTATGAAGACAAATTAATGAAAATTGGAAAACATTTATTCTGGTTGATTGAACTGCTGGATTTCTAGTTAAAAATCCAAATGTCAAGTTCACAGTTGCTATGAATACAGACAAAATTGATTCTCTTGTCTTGTACATTTGGTTTAAGTGATACAGTAAATCAGTAGAAAAAAAAGACAATGGTTAAATTGAATATCACCGTCCAATTGGTTTGTGTAATTATGCAGACTGTTTATACATGAATAATGTAAATTCCTACATTGGAAGCATTATATCTACATAATTTAAAAGGTATGGATTTTATTTTTGCTCATTTTATAAGGAGAGATTGTAAATATGTTAATAACAATGTTGTGATGTTTAATGTATAGGTACAAATTTTCCAAGCCAATATTATTATTAAAAGATTTCAAGCTTGAAATTATTGCATATCATGTTTAATCAATATTTTAAATTTTTATATTTACTTAAAAGTGTATAATTAATTTTCTCATAAAATAATTGCAAACCTTTTTAAAAGAATTTTTAAATTAATTTATAAACTTTAATTAAAGATATATAATAGCAGCACATATTATGTATCTTCTTCCAAAAGATGTGCCTCTCATCAAAAAAATTATCTTTTTATAACTTTTTATTATAATTTTTGATGTAAATTGACAGTGTAATAGATAAATTCTAATCAAAAAAAGGATTCTGGTGTTCAGTAAAATAAGTAACAATTTTTTTTAATCAAAATTACTTATCTTTGAACCGCATCAAATGATAATGGCTTGGATATTTTAAATAATATTGTCCAATAAATTATTGACTATTTATAATAGTTTATGGTGAAATTTTTCATGATATGTAAAAAGTTTCTATTATTGCAATAAAAATAATATAATAATATATTTTAAATTTTTTTTTAACATTTTAAGAAAGATGTTCTTTTTCTGAGTAAGAATTGCATTTTATATAATATTGGGTTGTTTGGAAAGTAATTTTGTTTTTTTTTACCACTAGACAGATTAGTCGTATTTTTCCCACCATTTTCATTCTAAACCATATTGTCATTATATATTTTGACAGCTAGCAGTTAAAGGCTTATTTGTAAAAAATTCTGTTTGATTTTGTGCAATTGTTTATTTTTTGTGTCCCATCAAATATGGAACATTGAAAGCAGCGTTTTCGGCATATTTTGCTCTTTTATTACCGAAAAGGTAAGAATGCTGTTCAAGTGAGAAAAAAATTGTGTGACGTGTACAGAGAAGATGTATTGACAGAACGACAGTGCCAAAACTGGTTTACAAAATTTCGTTCTGGCAATTTCAATATTGAAGATGCACCACGTTCTGGATGGCCAGTTGAAGCCAATGAAAACAAAATAAAGGTACTGATTGAAGCAAACTGCCGAATAACAACACGTGAAATCACTAAGAGATTAAATTTGTCAAATTGAACTGTTTATGATTACTTGAAACAAATTGGTTTTGTTTCAAAGCTTGATATATGGGTTCCACATGTTCTTAAAGAGAGATGCTCTCTTTGGTGGGATTTTAAGGAAATTTTTTTTTTGGAGCTTTACCAGACAATTTAACAATCGATTCGAAAGTGTACTGCCATCGAGTAAACAAATTGAGTAATATCATTAAACAGAAAAGGCGGGCAGAATTGATCAACAAAACAGGTGTAGTGTTTTGCCACGATAATGTCAAATTTCACACAAGTTTAGTAACTTCTCAGAAACTGTTATAACTTAGATGGGACGTGCTATCACACCAACCATATTCACCAGATCAAGCACACTCAGATTATTACTTGTTCTGGTCTGTACAAATTTTTTTAACTGAAACACATTTACTTGAAATGACAATGTCAAAAATCACTTGGATCAGTTTTTTGTAAGCAACGATCAAAACTTTATGAATGTGAAATCATGCTACTACCAGAAGCGATGACAACAGGTATTTGACCAAAATGGTCGATATATAATTCAATAAAATATTTATTTATTATAAAAATATTGTTTTTTTTCCATGGAAAAAAAAAAATGAAATTACTTTCCAAACAACCCAACAATTTGCAAATGTAAAGAAGCAATAATTATTTTGCCAATTAGTACAAACGAAAAAAACTATTAAGTATTTTAATAATCTGGCATCACAAAAATAAACTGGCATATAATTCAGTTTAATGATTTTTCAGTTTAGTTTTTTTTTTTAAATTGTTTACAAGTGTGTTTTCTTTTATGGAAACAGTTAATTATATAAACTATAGTTTCAAACATTAATTAATTAAACTTAGCAGTATTATTTTGGAAATAAAGATAATCAGAATAAGCAACTTTCCTTGATAAACTGGCTTTTATGGCTTTCTTAAAAATGAGAAAAGTGATATTTTTATGAATCTCATTGTCATTAGTACACATTCAATGCAATGTTACTTCAGAGCAGTCAGTGTTCACCAACTATCAAAATCTATCAACAGAGGGACTAGTTGTGATATTTTAGCATAAAACATGGCACAAAGTAATTCTTATAAAACAAAAATATTAACTGACAAAAGTGAAATACAAATTACAATGTTTCTCATTGACAATTGCAAAAAGTTTAAGGCTTGAATACTTAGAAATATGAAACAATAAAAATTAGATTTACATACAAAAAATTTAGATGATAGATTTGATAGCAACATCTAAGATTAAATGTCCATTAATAATTCCTAATGCCTACATAAACAATGATAAATACAACAATATAGTTGATGAATAAAGTCTAGCAAAATACTGTAAATTCACTCTTTTGTTGCATTTGGTTGCTGCCATTATGTTTTTGTTATTAGAAGGTATTTCTATCATCCTGAAATTGTTCTGTTTATATAGGTGGCTATGGTTAAGGCATTGCTCTACCACTCCGAGATTCAGAATTTAATCTGGCCAGATCAAAACCCCCATGAACTTTTTGGGAGTCGTGCTAAATATATAACATTTAAGACACTCCCTCATAGTCACATGCACATACATTACTATCATCAGTTTTTAGTCCAATTCTGTTTCATTCTCTTTTCATTCTAATAGTTTCATTATGCTTCTAAAGCAATTCCAAGGCATAAATTTTATTTTATTGTTGAATTAAAGATTTCCTTCATCATCATCATCATCATAAAGATTTCTAATTTGCAGTTTAAGCTGCTAATTTATGACAAAAATAATTGTTAAATTATGTTATAAAAAGTTCTGCATTTATTTATTTATTTGTAGAAAAAGATTATTGAAGTAAATTTCATTTTTAATGTTAAAAAAGTGTAAAGTTTTATTGAAAAAATTTAAAAAAAAAATAGAATTTTATTTTAATGGCTAATTTTTCTAATATGCTTTAATATGCTAAAATTAATTCCCTAGTGGTAAACTACAAAACAATACTGTTATTTTATGTTAAATTGGCTATCGTAGCTGTGAAGTGCAATGTCAACTTTTACTAATAAATAAAATCATTAACTTATAGCACAATTCAAAAATAGCAGTTCCTCTTTGAAAAATAAAATATAAAAATGCCTTTTAAGATTTACAGAATGTATTACTTGGTGATTATTTTCTGTGCTAAATATATATGTACAGTACAAGGAATGTCCAGAGAAAAAGGAAAAAACAAAGAACATGTATGCATAGTATTTTAATTTTTGGACATCCCTCATAGCTTTTGATTGATTTAATTATATAAAAATTATTGCACAAGAGACCTTTTTTTTTTTTAACTGTTGATTCAATGAACTGCATACATTCCATTAATGGTTATTATTCAGCGATTTAGAAAAGAAAAAAAACATTTGCTAGTAACAAACTAAGAAATATCAAGAAATAAAACTAATTAGATATAAACACTATAATTAGGGAAGTTCTTCAGTGAAACAAAAATTCCAGATATTAATAGTTCTTGATTCTTCTTCATTTTAATTGGGCCAATGTTAAGTATTAACAGAAATTTGCATTTATCTTAAAGGTACGAAAAATGTACAGTCTGGCATTATTAATCAGCATGTTTAAAATGCAGTTATTTTTTCATAACTTTGAAATAGTTTCCTTGTCTAGACATTTGATCCACATAAGTGTGTATGGCAATTTGCAACAATAAGCAACTTTGAAGAGCTGTATTGTTGCTAATTAAGTTCTAAAATATTCTATTGTAATTGTCATTTGAAGCATCTTTTACCAATAATGTCATCTAAAACATAAATTAGCTAATTTAACATTAGATAAGATTTATCCTTTAATTATATTCTAAAATAGACAAATGGTACTTAGTTCTTTACATCAGTTTGTCCTTAATGCTTTTGGAATGGACCCAACAATTACATGAAGAATATTTGATGTAGAATTGAGTTTAACTAGTAAAACATCTTCATTTTCTCTTCAATTTATACATTAATTTCTGTTTGATTTCAATGAGTTATATGTAGATCATTTATTTTTAGCAGTAATTTTGTTTGAAATAGATCAGAACAGAATTTAAGAATACTTCAAAATTTATTTTCTATCTGAACAAAAACATTTTATACAAATTTTTAAAAATGTTTACATCTATAACATTTTTTTTTTTTTCCATCAAAAGCACATGAGACCATTTCATCAAATTAATTAATATTGATTCTATGTTTTTTATAAAATATAATTTTATGTTCTTTTATATTACAAAATTCACATAAGATTCCTTATATTTTCACATAAGTTTCTCAAGAATCAACAATGCAAAATTTAAGGAATCTTTATGAAACAGATAATGAATTGATTTCATGCACTTTAATGTATTATTGCAGCTTTACATAATTTTATACAGTATATAACTTATTTTTTGCAAATGTACCTGCTGTCGATTAAACAGAATCTAATATGGTATGTATTTAAATATATATATTCTTTGGCAAAAACTTGTTAAACATAATATGCATATATCTATTAGTTTAGAAAATCAGGAACCATAATTTTTGGCAATTATTAATAAATATATCAATAACATTTATATAAAATATATATTATACCATAATATGTACAATTTGTTTAACAACTGGAAATTTTTATTATTTTAGCATTGATATCATTAATCAGATAAATTAATAAACCATACTAATATATTGCATTATCAAAAAAAATAATTAAAAATTATTTTATATTTACCACAATGTCGATTCAAATTATGGAATACAAATATATCTATATAAATATATTCATTAAATGTCTATATTACAGCTAAAGATATCTTGTTCCTCTCTTTAAATACAACAATTGATGGCACTTTTAATTAAATGATAAAATGAATCTAAACATAACATTTGTTGGCGTATTTTGCTATTATATATATATATAAATGACAACAACAATTGGTCATCAGAAATATCAGAAGGCACAAGATTAAATATTTTTTTTTTTTGTTTGCAATACACTGAATTTTTAATTAACAAACTGGTCACTGATTTTTTTTAACAATTTAAATGATGATAAACTATATTAAAATGAGTGCAGATAATATATTATTTCAATAAATTCTAATCATGACAATTATTATATAACAATAAATGGCAGATGAATCATTTTGAATTTTGTGCAATTTTCCAAACAATGACGATGCATTCTCCTCATGCCTTTGGGATTTCGCAAAATAGTCTTTGGACGGAATTGTCTCTTGGCCCTAGACACGTGTGGAAAATTAGGATACGTGGCCAATGTAATTTTGAATCTGAAATAAAAAACATTTAAAGATAAAGTAATAATGACTGTGTAAGAAATTAAAATCAAATACAGTAGAGCGTTGATTATCCGAAAGAATTCCAGTCGGCAAATTTAAATTTTCGCCAGTGCTGTGGCACTGCAATCTTTGGCTATGTCTTGGGCTACTCAAATATTTTACGTTTTTGATACTAAATTAACTTCTGAAGTATAATTTTTTATTGTTTTTATATTTTTCAATATATTTATTTTGTTTGTACAAAATAAAAAAATAATTTTTAACGATACAATAGTCTTCGTTAGGCTTAACATTGACGAAAATTCAATGCAAAGCGACACGCAACGGAGAAAAATGTCAAAATGGGATAAATTAATATATTTTTTCATACATAATTGGTTATCCAAAACATCAATCTTCCGAACAACCCCAGTTCCCAATTGATTCGGATAATCGACATTCTACTGTAATTTGATTAGTATCCAAAGTAATATTTATTTGTGAGTTTTTTGTTTTGTTAAAATTGTAGTAATATTTATTAATGAAATGATACCATTTAACATTTGATATTTGTGTGTGTATAAACATATTTTGATCATTTTAATACTGGTTGATAATAAGGAAAATCAACTGAATTTTCTAGTCTGGCAAACTGTTGAATTCAGATTATCTAAAAGTTTAATGAATCAGGATCCTATTCCTCACTATCCAGCTGAATCCATGATGGGCATAATTTAGATGCTGAAAGATATCTTAGCACTTAACTAAGACAGAAAAAAATACTTAAGCAATGAGTAATCTCAAAAATCAAATTTTGTATTGATAAGATAAAAACATTTTTCTCCATTAATTCTTAAAAGTAATTTGATTTTAAATGTTTAAATTTATGTTTAAAACTTTTTGTTAAGATTAATGTTTTCAGTATGGCTGATTCTTCTGTATATATGTAAACAGGGTGGTGAAAATTTTCATTGATATTAAAACGGGCATGTTCTAGTTATACATTTTGTAATTGTTTTAAGATTTACTATTAATTACATACTGAATAAATTACTAATTATTATGAAGTAAAAAATGCCAGCAATTGAAAATACTGCACTGTGAGCAAATAATGATAATACACTAGTTTAAACTGCATGCTGATAGTGCATAAAGATTTCAGGTAAATAACAATATAAATTTAAAAATACCTTTTTAATTAAGCAGAACTTTTATAAGTGTGTTCTACACTTCATGTGATCAGAGTAATAAATATTTTCAAACAATCAAATTCTAATATACATATATATAAACTGATAGAAAAAAATTATAAAACAATAAATGAATATATTCAATCAAGAAGTCATGCATAAAAATTAAAAACAAACAATTTAACTTTAAATATATTTATAAGCCTTGCATATAAATCAGATAATTTCCTGTTATTGATTTAGATGTATTTTTGAAATTCAAGGTCTTTACATTTTAAATTTAAGGACATTTATTAAGGATAAAATATTTTAGTTTATAAACAAAAATATACTTAGGAGTACTTACACTATGCAAATGTAAATGAGTTAACACTGTTAAAGTGATAATTGTTGAAAAACCAATATACTGAATCCAAGTCAAAAATTCCTAGAAAAGTATGTTAAAATATTAAATATCATGTTCATAAAATTTAATAAAAACTAAAAGGAATAACAATAATAATTGACCAAATGGAGAATATGAATGCACTATATTTTTACTATAACAACATAAATAATATAGTCCAATCTTGTTAATCCAAACTAATTATTGCACAGGATTATATATAAATTTTCCTTTGTTTGGATTAATGAAATAAAAATGGACTAAGGACAAATAAATATGTTTTATATTTAAATTTATGTACAATTTATTTTTGTTTTGGCTGGAACATTTAACAGAAAAACAAACAAAATTGGTTAAAATTAAGCATAGTTCAGATTAGTGTGAATGCTCTGTACTTCCTTTATCTTTTGACTGACAATATCACCAGAAAATTATCATAATAATTCAAAAGTTAAGTAAATTTTCAAATAAAGAATCTTGCATTACAATTCTGTTTAAATTATCAGAGCCTAATGCTTATAAAACTTTCATTGTAAGACTGAAATTAATGAAATAATATAATTTGTTTTAGCCCCGCACATATTTCTACAATAAATTGATAAAGTTACATATTAATACAGTTCAATGTTGTTTTTTTTTATGTGATTTTTTATGAATATTTATGTTTTCAACTATAGAGATACATTTGAATATAATTAGTGCTTAAATTATACAAAGTAAAAACATAAAATATAAAAATTTTAACTAAAATTCTAAACTTTATATTTTGTAATGTTACAATTTACAATTACTAAAAAAATCTGAGGTTCTCTTCAGAACATTGTAATTTTTTAAAGAAAATGTTTATCACCAAAAAAAAATTCATTTTTATTTAGTGTTTTCTAAAAGATCAAAAACAACAAATTTAAAAAAAGGTTGCTCATAAATGCTTTATATAAAATATAAAGCATTTAACATTGCAGATCTTTAATGCTAAAAATTTAGTTGGAAGAAGGAATTTTAAAAATATAATTATCAAATTAATATATTTTTAATTATATAATTTCAAAATTGTAAAGTGATGTGAAAAAAATATAATAAATTTACATCATTATGCTTAAAAACAATATGATTTGTTTCTATGGTGAACAATTAATAAGCAAGATAACTCAATCTAAATAACGCATTTAATAAATTTTTTATGGCATGTAATAGCAAACTGTTTTATTGTCTTTTTTAGCAGCACTTCATACCTGGAGCAAAATAACTTTCTTGGAAGGAAAAATTAAGAGATTTCTGTAAGCTTACACTAAAAAATTAGTTCTAATCTTAAAAATTAAAGTTACAGCCTACGATTGAAACTTTTTGAATAAATAAATAAAACAGTGAATGAGCAAATCTTTGAATGATTAATTTTTCAAGAAAATTTTACAAAAATACTGTTATTTATATATTATTTGCATAGAAATTTAACATCAGACACTTCTAGATAAATATATCTAGAAGAAAATAAAACTGACAATACAAACTAATAAGTTAGTATTAATTTCATTTAAGTTAGTATTTGCTTTTGCTTATATTTTTATATAGAGTAATCAAAAATTCACTACGCACTAATATTAAGAGTATAGTAATAAAAGTGTATGGTGAATTTTTGAATCATCTTGTGTTTATGAATACATTTACTTAGATATTACAACTAGCATTTATGTACATATTTGTTACCAGCTTTATTCATAATAGTATTTGATAGCTTTCTTTCTGTAACAATTTCCATGAATAAAGTAACAATAAAAATTTGAAAATTTCTTACCCATATTTTATTAATAAACACTGCAAACAGTAACATTTGCATTAGAGAATGTGCATTTAATATTCTCCAAAACCACATAATCACCCATACTACAGAAGACCGTAATATTTCATTCTGTACTATCTAAAAAGAAAAAAATAATATGAATATAATTATAGTTTAAAAATTAATTTATTTCTTCTAAATGGATAAATTCTTTTATAAGCCTTTCTTATTTTTTTAGAATATTACATAACAATATTAACATTTGAAATTCTAAAAACTAAAATAATATGGTATGTTAATATTAGAATTGATAGAAGAATTTTCATACTAAATTATTTTGATTAGAAATTATCAATTTCTCTCTAATAATTATGATTTTAATGTAACACTTAGTTTTTAAGTTTTTATTTATACATACTTTGGGATGTCATGTTTAATAAATTGCATAAACTTAAAATAATCTTTTAAAATAAAAATGTGTAATTTCTTACTACATATATTTAAAACTAAGTTAACAAAGATTTATTGAATCAGTTCAACTTACAATTTTTGTTGACAATCTTAGTTTATATTGAATCACAAGATAATATTATCTGTATGATCCTGCATTAATTGCCATATCCCATTATCTTAATCTAATGCATTCTTGAAAACAATTCAAATGTCAAGTGTTTTCCTTTATTTCTTTAGGAAAAAATTTTAACTCATCTTGATTAATCCAAATGACACTAAAACAATGCAACAAACCTAATTTGCCTATCAATTCATATTTTGAGCATGATCATAAACATTACATTTTAATTAGATCATTGTGTTTGTAATGCAACAACTTCTATAGTACTTCAAATTAGGAATTGTATGTAATATGCAATAGACAATGATGAAAATGTTACAACTAAACTACATTTTATATTAAGTTATATAAAAATAATAAAGAAATGAAATAATAAACTTTCATTTCAATTTTGATCTTTTACTTAAAAATAAATCATTTTTGTATACTTTACACTGAATTTTTGTGACAATTGGAGTAGAACATTAACAATACCACTGGAATAAATATTGAGAATGTACTGTACTGTACTTCCCACTGTTATTAGTGAAATTTTTGGCTTTTCACAAATGTGCTTTGAAAAAAACTATAATATCAAGATTATTCAATTCAGATATTGCAACAGGTATTAAGGAGTATTATTCATTTTTGCTGGATTATGGATACAGGGAGTCTCAATATACATAATGTCATACTCAATATCCACTTTTGCTTTGATGAGTATAAATTTAGCGTAATTTTAATCATTCATTTTGTCTGTACAGGTATACCTCGACTTATGTTGTTTTGAGTTATGTCATTCCCGATTATACGTCGTTTGTCAAAAAAAGTATATGGAAAAATAAAAATCAAGTTTAAGTCATTTTATTTGACTTTATGTCTGTCTGCCACAAATATTGAAGTCATAATATCACTAGAAAAGCATTTAAAGCACATTAAATCATATTAATTAAAGTATATACTGTACATTTACAAGTACTGTATGTACTGTATTTACAGTACATGCATTCGTAAATTTAGATTATTTTTTCTGTACTGTATTAAAAACTAAAATTTATTTGTTTGTAAGCTTAAAATAGATCCTTATTAACCATATATTATTAAAAATGCATTAATAAATAAAATACAGAACCGGGAAATGGTAACTTATGGTTTAGCCTAGTGACAAGTAGATTTGGAGACAAGTAAATTCGACTTATATCGGTAATTGGTTCCAGGAGAGGCGACGTAAGGCGAGGTATACCTGTACTAGTCTACACTGATTATTATATCATTGATGCATAAAATAACAATATGTTTACTTTATTTTCATTATAAATCATACAGAAATTGTGTTAACTGAATGAATGAAATTTGACATTAAATTGTGATATTATAATTAGTGAGGATAATTTCAAAATCAATGCTTTTTATATGTAACCTTGGTATGTATGTATGTATGTACGTACAGTAGAGCGTCGATTATCCGAATCAATTGGGGACTGGGGTTGTTCGGAAAATCGATATTTCAGATAACTGATTATGTACGAAAAAATATATTAACCTATCCCATGTTGAAATTTTTCTCCATTGCGTGTCGCTTCGCGTTGAATTTTCATCGATGTTAAGCCTAACGAAGACTATTGTATCATTAAAAATTATTTTTTTATTTTGTACAAACAAAATAAATATATTGAAAAATATAAAAACAATAAAAAATTATACTTCAGAAGTTAATTTAGTATCAAAAACGTAAAATATTTGAGTAGCCGAAGACATAGCCAAAGATTACAGCGCCACAGCACTGGCGAAAATTTAAATTTGTCGACTGGAATTCCTTCGGATAACCGACGTTTCGGATAACCGACCTTCGGATAAACGATGCTCTACTGTATTTNTGATATATAATATAAGATCTCCCATTTGTAGATCGATAACTAAATAAATGTTAGAAAATAACCCAAGTTCAATCAGTCTTAGATCCTATTCCCACTGATTCTGAAACGTGTCCCTAGTTGGATTGTAACTGATACGGTTCGTCTACCATAAAATAAGTGAATTTATTTAAATAAGTCGGTTGTACTTACTTCGTTCCTGTTATAGTTACAGATGCAAAATAAACCCATAGTCTTCTTCATCCCCGCTTCGACTTCAACCTTTTCAACTTTTTTATTTTTATTTTATTTTTTTGCTTTTGTGAATACCTACGAGAGTAACATCGTTTGGATGTAATCAATAACTTCGGCATTTGAAAAATTAATCGACCATCTGTTAAAGAATTCATTTTGCCCTCCGCAACGTGTTTACAAACCTAAAACAGCTGTTTTCACCGTGACACTTTCGATACTCTCACACCCAAAGCGTTCGTGTTTGTGAACGGGAAACGAGACTATTTCTACTGACTCCAACTTCGCAAACTAAAATCGATGGTCTTTTACTAATAACCACATTGGATATATTTTTAAACTAAAACGAAATTCCTTTAATAACGGTTACGAAAATATCGAAACAGTCTTTCGATCGCGAATAAATAAACGAGATTTACGAACGGCTCACTCTATCGGTAGGTCCGCGAACTAATCGGCATGGATACATTAACATCAATCTAATTTCTTTCGATCGTGTTATCCATCGTCGCGACGATACCCGGCAAGTGGACATTCCTTTCGATCGAATAAAAAGCGGAAAACTATTTTAAAAACAAAGAAAACTCACTTTCGGTAGATAAAATTTTACGACCAACTTTCCACATGGCTTTAGCAAAACCGATGGCTCGTCCCCTAGCGGAGGCGGGTTCACAAATTAAGAAAAATTTTATAATATAAAAAGTGTCCCTTTTTTACTTTATGTTATAAATAAAATCTTATATTCTTATTTCTTCTCTGATATTTAAAATATAATAATTGCAATAATTTATATCTCAATTTCTTACTTTTATTTATTATACATTTTTGGTGTCTACGAGATGGAATAATTCTAACTCGTTGGATGTTATACATCCGGTAAAAATGGACTCAGGCTCGTTGGCAGAATTTACACAACATAAAACTATACAAGTTTTTATATACAATATATTAATGTTAAAGAAAACATATATTCAGTACTTAGCCAATCGTGTTGCTACATTTCGTACAAAATTAGTGTAAATATTCAATTACTAGTTGAAATTCGGATAGATGACGTCGGAATTCAAAACAGCCAATCGGCGTTTTTATTGAGGAGCAGAATTTAGTTGCTTGTTGCTGGAGTACGTTAATACAGTATATATGAAAACGCGAGCCAATGAGATGGCTCATTTCAAACGAAATAGGGACGTCATTGGCTGGTTTATCAAGCCTTATTAAAAATGACTTTTTATATACTCGGCAGTCTTTTTGTTATAAGTACGTAATGATTGCTTTGCATTTTGTATGATTATTTAAATAAAGAATTCGCACGAGAACAGAAATTGCAGTTGGTGTAACCCGTTTTCTATGGCAGCAAATAGAAAATTTTCAAAATTTTCTTTCCTCTTTCCTCAGCAATTCGCGGATATCTTCCCACGTTTCGACGTTTTTTGAAATTTGTCCCGATTGGGCCATAGTCCAACTGCGATAATTTCCACTTAAATTTCAAGATTTCTATTCGAGAGTTTCGAAGTTTGGATGCCGATGAATTTGGTCTTCACAGGGAATTGGGAAACGTTTTCGAACAATCGAGGCCCGACGACGAAATCAGATAAAAAGTAAGGTTCTTGTATAAAATTAACGGAATTCTGTAAATGTAGCAATAGCAAAACTCGCCGATTTTCGAGGAAACAAAATTACAGATGTCTCCGGATAGCACCTATACAATTTGACGATCGGATGGCCCTTCGGTCAAGGTGGCAGCCTGCCTTTCTGGGGGACCCGGGTTCAAATCCGGACGGCTCATTAAATCCCCAGGAATTTTTCGGGGGTGGTCTTTCTGGATATGTCGGACCCTGTTCCTCACCACCTGACTGTCTCATTAAAGGTCTAGCCGAACCCATAATGGACTTGCTATATGAGGCCCTCTTAGTGACCACAGAGCGGAAAGAGTTAAAAAGAAAAAAAAGCATCTATACAAGACCAATAATAGAAGACCAAGCACTTTGGCCTGATGTGCGTTTTACTAGTTTAGTTTTTTTTGTCTTTTGATTAGAGGTGAGAGAGCCAGTTCCGCTGCTGGAACTGGAACTGATCCGAGTGCGAAACTGTTCCATCGGAACCGTTAAGCTGGACGGTCTCTCATTGGTTTTATATAGGATATAAAATGTTTGTTTCACTATTCTGATTTTTGGTCGATCTGCTTCAAATTATTCTTGTTTAATTCGAAATCTGAGGAAATAGACTATCACGAAACATAGACACCTTACCCCTCCCCTGATTTCATCCTCCCTCATTAACTCCTAAACCGATTCGATCTGCATCTAATTTTTCATGCTTAATCTCTGGGATTCTGGAGAAAATATAGACTTTCATAAAATCAGGACACACCATCCCGATTTGATCTCCTGGACACTTCGCCATAAACATAATTGTAAGCTAAAATAATTAGCCATTTTCCTGTTAGGAGGGGTGATGCCAGACATATCTGTTTGTTTCTA